TATTTTAAGGGCTCTCATTTTAAGAAAGCTGCCTAAAAATACACACACCCACACATTTTTATCTACACCTTTGTGCAAATTATCAATATATATATTCAATATTTTAGCCAACAAAGACCATAATGAATAGCTTCTCATCTGCTAAAGACAATGAACCTACTTTCTTTCTCCTAATTATTACATTCTCCTGGGTACTTTGTATTTTTACAGCAATATGAGCACTGTAAGCTGAAGATACCACTACCAATTCTCAAAATTTTGTCACAATTCCCATGTTATTTGTTTTTTTTTCTTAAAAAATTATTTAACTAAAATTAAAACAAAAAAACCTACATTTCTAGTTAAAGGATTACAAGGTAACAGCTGAAAATGCAAAGCCTAGGTCCTCAGGAATACAGGAGCAAACAAGAAAAAATCTTCCACAAAATCTTTTTTTTTTTTTTTTTCAATCTCATGATACTGAATACCTAATTGACAATTTTGAAAGCTTAGATTTAACAATTCTTCTTGTGATTTCAAAATGAGTAGTTGTCATGTGTTTCTTACAGTGATGGACACAGCTAGTTTTACACGTCACCCCGCATCCAAGGACCACCCTTCTGTTCCTCTGCATGCAGACAGGTTGATGCTGTAATAAGGTCTGCAGGGGGTGGCCACAGCACTCAGATAGGCACAGGGGCGCAATATATCTTTTCTCCTGTATGGGTCTTTCATTCAGCCAATGACAAGGAAAAACATTCTTCTTCGAGTAAAATAATTGTAAACCCACAAAATCTGGCAGAAGAATTCAAAGTAGGCGTTGTACCAGAAACTTCTTATTTTCTGTAAACTAAATATAAAATTTACTCCATCAACTTGAAATTCTCACTTTCTGTTAAATTTCATAAAATTATTATAAGCTTGGAGCTGGGAAAGTTTCTCAATTTACCATCAGCTGAAAATAAATCCCTGACTACATTGTGCAAGGGATAACAGAAGTAAGAAGCTGCGATGTAGTTCACAAATCATGGCTTGAACACAGTGACCCAACAATTATTTTTAGTAGTGTGTATTCAAAAAGTAATTTATGTGTAAATATTACTGGATGCACATTTAATTTCAAGCCACAATTACACAACATTTTAATTACTAAATATTAAGATACATTTCAACATATGCTTTATGATTTAGCACTTATAGTTCAAGCTATAAACAATACAACAACAATACAACTAATTACACTTATCGGTGGAACTTTACTTCCCATACACATTAATCACTTTCAATTATTCCTGTAGTAATCTATGACACAGCAAGGTATAGAAGAGGAGACTGAGGGGAGACCTTATTGCAGTGTACAACTTCCTTGTGAGGGGAAGAAGAAGTGCAAACATTGATCTCTTCTCTGTGGTGACCAGCGACAGAACCCAACGGAATGGCCTGAAGTGACAGGGGAGGTTCAGGCTGGATATTAGAAGGTTTTTCACCCTGAGGGTTATTGGGTGCTGGAACAGGCTCTCCAGAGAAGTGGTCACAGCACCAAGCCTGCCAGAGTTCAAGAAGTGTTTGGATGATATCTCAGGCACATGGTGTGACTCTTGGGGATGGTCCTGTCCAGGGCTAAGGTTTGGACTCAGTGATCCTTGTGGGTTCCTTCCAACTCAGCATATTCTGCAAGTATTTCTGTAAATGTGTGTCTATGTTGCAGTAACTAGGTAACAATTTCTGTGCATTCGAGCAGGATATTACAGACTCATCCTGTTTTTCTTAACATCTTGCAATCACAGACATGAGAAAATCTAGATCAAAAAGTTGCAAAGACCAATAAAATTTTTAGATGCTGTGGCATGTATTTGAAAATTGCTGTTAAGTTTTACTGGTTTGTTTAATGAAGGACTTCCAAATCATAGCCCAATTTTTATGGTGAGATGAAAGTTAGAATGAAGACAGATTTGGCCACCAAAGGTTTGCAAACAAAAATGGTCCTCCTCTTTCACCAGTTTCACATGTGATACTCCTATTTGGTCTATTTTTACTTTGAGTTTCCCAATGAAGTGCATGCCCACATCCCAGTTGAGGGACAAGGCAGAGCAGAGCTGCTTTCCCATAGTACCTCCTTTAGCAGCTGCAAACAAAGAAGCACCTGGACAGGTACTGCCCCTGCAAGGCTGAAGGTTCTGCATTGTTCTCAGAGAGCCATAGCTCCTCCCACATGATGGTACAAAGGCCCATGAACAAGTCTTGGTTTAATATCAGGTTTAGATGGGTTCCTCTGCTTAACACAAGTACATCCCATTTTCACCAAGAGCCTTCCACCTTGATGAAGTAGCAAGCTGGGGATGTCTGTAGCTGAGATGACTGCAAGCCATCAGGACAGACCTCACAGCACTTAACATGCAAAGTAAATGAAAAATAAATTAATTGAAAATGCAAATGTTTCTGGACTTTTTCTGCTTGTTCTCTTTTCCTCTGCAGGCAAAATAAAATGCAGAGGGTTCAGACAAAAACCTTCACTCCAAATTAAAGCCATATGCTTCACACTGCTCCCCTGTAAGAGGCACAGATGCAGAAGGAGCAGCTGTGCAACAGGTCTCCATAACAACTGTAACCTATAATTTCATGAAATCAGTTGACCCAAAATCCTTGCAAAGGAAGTGTAGAAGTGGTACAGTTGCTATGGGGTGTAGCTGCTCTATCAACCTCATCATCACCCCCACAAGAAGCAAGGAAAAAAGAAAAGTGATCGAAATTTGTCATAAAACAGTAATTGCCCATCAGCTGCTTCATTTCTTCAAGCTCTCTGAAATTACTAAGTGCCATATGGATATAAAGTTTAAGAGAAAGGAGATTATAACAAAATAAAATCTTACAAATTAATATTCTGATAAAATAGTTCAGGGTTTATTTCAATGATATCTCCAGTGTATCAATTATTTAATCAAACTGCTTTCAGTGGAACTCAGATATCAAACCACCTCTATGAAAACCAGGTGTTAATATCCTTTGACTTCTTAGAAAAACATTGGGCTACATTAAAATTACATTTCAGGTCTAGTTTTGCATGTCAGATATGTGATGTGTCAATGGTTATATATTATATTCTTCCTCTCAGGCATGCATCTCCTGCAGAGACAGCAGACTATAGAAGCTGACCCTTACTGAGACCATCTTGTCTCTCACACAAAGCTCCTTTTAACTTCTTACTCACTGGTTGCTTCCTGTGATGGATGAAAACTTTAGCTCAGCTTGTGATAATTTCACAGGCCCTGAGCACCCTGACCCTGGAAGCACCAAGGTTAGAAGTGTAGTCTTGTTCTGAAACATTGATATTCTTCATATTAAGTAGAACAAAAGTGAAGAAATATCCACCAGTGTGGCCAGAGAAACAGGGAAAATGGGAATGACACCTTGGTCATCTGTTACCCATGCGACCTCAACCCACTGACTGACATGTAATGGAAAAGCTCTCCAAGCCTTCTTTAAGTCAGCATTTTGTTCAGGAAACAGCGAGGAAGGTCTCTAGTTGTTTTTTATTCCTGTCCTCTGCTAAGCATATGTATCTCTGGGCATTTGGTGATCCAATGTGGTTTTACAACACCTACAGATATTCTGCCAATGCTTCACTTTGGACCCACAAGTTACATGAGAATAATCTGGGCTGAAACACAAGGCAGCTGAAAATAACAACTCAGTAAAGCCAATACAGTAGAGCTGCTCCATAAGTTCATTGCATCTGAGAAGCAAAAGGCAAATGCAACACAACCCATTTTTTGCCCAAAGATGTGGTTTTAGGGAGAATTATTCACCTTCAGGGTCTCTTAAAAGTGTAGTTTTGAGACTTTGAGATTTCGTGGAAGATGATCAATTCTCAAATCATCTTTAGTTCAGGAAAATGAACAGTTCTCAAGTCTCAAATCTGTACATGTCATACATATTTTACAAATACTCTTCCAGGAGCACAGGGAAAATGAAAACGGCACTAATTTCTACAAACAAAAGAGGTTCAGAAAAATCCCAAGTTCTTAAAGTAACAAAAGCGGTAGTGTACTAGACAGTTCTTGCTACAGGAATTAAAGATTAAAACCAAAACACTCATCTGTGCTTTTACTTAACTAAGGCATTCATCTTATGTTCAGGCAGGAACCACTTTAATCAACTTTCAGTTAGATTAAACTGAAGTGTTGTAGATAAAAAATGTACATATATGTCTGCTGGTTCCCGTGTCTACAAAACCAGTTGTAATGTGTTGCAATTTTCCTTTCCACATAAACAGAACCTTTGTTTTTTCTTTTTTAGTTTTCTTCAATAAAACACATCCTGATTACACCAGTGACTCGAAGTGAGCAGGCACTGAAAGAATGGTATACAAGATCAACAGGAAACTTCGTACACCAGACAGGGTTAACAAATCTGCCTTTAGAGAAAATGGTGGAAGACTGACAAACTGGATATTCAGCAATTCCAGCACCAAGTGCAGACCAGCTCTACACTGAGCAGAGTTTACCCTACCTTACATTACTTTAGGGTTTATAAACAGCCTAATAAATGGCAAAACATAAGTCTTCCCAGCAACGTCTGCAGGCCTTTGTGGAAAAACCGCAAAACTGAGTAAAACCCCTAAATTTCCCCTCATGTTCAGTTTCAATCTATATATAGAAAGCTGCATTTGTTAGTGTGACTTTGCTTTAAAACTGTGCTTATATGTCCTCAGTTTATACCTCCAGTCTTTCTGTCCCACAGCAGAAACTGGTGCCTTTTGGTATATAGTTTGGACAAGAAGGATCCAACGCATTTTGTTTTCCCCCAGTCTTTCAGGTTCATGCACACTTGGGACCTTATTATCTACCTCAAAGCCGGAAAAAATGCAGTGACCTTGCAGTTGCAAAGAAATCCTCACAGACCCGTACGTGACCACCCGTTCAGTTGTTCCTATATGGCTACTTTCAAGAAGGTGATCACAAAGAATTTAGAAAATCTGTGACAGTCTTCAGGAAAGAAGGCAATGGAGAATTCACACTTACCAGCTCTACAAAGGCAAGTCCACCATAACTGTGAGCAACAAAAAACACATTTTCTGCAGCTGACTGGGAAATAAAATGGTCCCAAACATAAATTGCATGTTCTTCAGGAGATCCATTATCCTGTAGAAAGAAATTACAAGAATTACCTTTAAAAAAATGCTAATTCTGTATAAAAGCAATGTGTTCTTATATCTTAAAATGTTTTGTTAAAACAAACCTCAAATGAATATATTCTAGTGTCAAAAAAAGAGCAGATTCTTTCATCCAAATAAAGAAAATTTAGGATTGCAATTTAAAGGCAGTAAAATTGTTGGGTTTTGTGGCTTTCTTTAATATATACAACAAAAACTAAGCATCTGCAAAATTTTGTCTAAATATCTTGACGACAATTCTGCTAAACATAGGCATTCAAAGAAATTATGAGCCACTGCTTGGATTTTCATTCCTTTGACAAGTCTTTGTCAAATGTTTGTTCGCTCATGGCTTGTTTAAAGTAGTTATGCCTTAGTCTGATAAAACAAGTAAACCCAGGTAGGAACAATATAAAAAAAGAATCATAGAATCATTTAGGCTGGAAAACACCTATCATTTCAGTTTTTACTTTTTTTTTTTTTTAATATTATGGGACACTGGAAATCTGCTAAGGATTAAAATTATATTTGCAACTACTCTTTTAAATGCTACTCCTTGTGACTGCAGATTATGAGACACAGCACAAAAAACAACCTCTTGTCTAGTTGTAGCCATTACTTTGGAGTCTTTGGTAGTTAGGGGAACCCTTTTTCTTATTACTGAACAAGATTCTGTCGAAGTCAGCCAGCATAAGAATCACTGAAGGCACTAGAGTGATGTACACTGATCTTAGTACACTCCCACCTTAGAGGTTCTCAGAAAGCACTGTACCCTACTATATTTTCCTTATTTATCAGTTTGTCAAGGTCTAGTCTCAGGTGATAAAAGTAAGATGCTCTGCTAGGTCCCCTGCTCCACCAGGATTTCACACACCCAGTACAACAATGCAGACTCTTTCCAGACACTTCAGTGCCAGAAAGAGCTGATAAGTCAAGGTCATGTAATTTCCTAAAATCTGCATCCCTTTTCCCTTTGCTCCACTCCATCAACAACTTCATACCCCTAGGTGACTCTGACATAGTCCACAAAAGCTTTGTTTCCTTGGGGAAAACAAAGCACAAACCAGTAAAAGCCACTGGCAATCAGAAGCTGCTAATTACACCGCGTGAATTATTGTAATTATTGCAACTTTACCAAGAATGTTGAAGTGATTTAGGTCTCAGTTCCATTCCTCAACTCGTTTTTGAGAATTTAAGCTCTTTTAAATGTCTAAAACTGGTGGGAAGAGAGACAACTAAATAAAGTGGTAGACTTCCGCTTCTACTTCTGTTTATATGCCCTGTTTCTTAAGAGTGAGATGGCTACAAATCTTTCACGGAGCTGGACCCAAAGCTTTAAAAACAATTAAGTGCTTTTATGTTTTTCTTTGTGGCAGTCATGATTAAAAGCCAAAAAACATTGAATTCCTCTTAATCCTGCTCTTGATTGGCTATGACAGAACATAATCTTAATTAGGCATCAACTATTGTAAACCACCTCAGTATAGGAAAGGGCTTATTTCAAAACAGTTCACTGCTGTCTTGAAATTTGATTGTAGAGATAGGTAAAGGAGGTAAAGACTCCTTTCTTTGTGAGGGAAGTGGGAAGTTTTTCCAAAGAAATTTTATGAAGAAAATATGATTGACAGTCCAGTTATTAAGATAAAGCTGAGGGACATCTTGAACGGAGTTTCCTATGGAAAAGTGATGTACTTTAATTAAGATATGTATGGAAACTGCACATTAAAACACTAGGAGAATGTTAAAATTAGTAGTTTATCTGAAAGATTTATTTTAGTTAATTACACAGAAGATATCTTTAAAAAATAACAATTTTACCATAAATATTCTTAATAGCATTTTTTTGTATAGCTACTCAACCCTGCTTTACCATTTTGAGAAAAAGAGGAGGTCCTTTCTGGTTAATATAGCATTTTCAGGTATATTGTATTTATTATTCTATGTGCTGTTGGGAAAAGCACACAATTTTAGATTCCACAAGACTAAGATATCAGCAAGAAGCTTCTGAACTCAGCCCAAAGAAGCTTCCACCAATTAAAGAATAACCAGTGGTCTAGTTAGCAAATCAATAACTGCACAGCTTCACAGTCCAGTACAAGGACTCAATAAGATTCTATAAAAGCAAAAAGAATTAGCTAGAATGAGTTACACATAGACTGTAACTACAGTTCCCTTTATTAAGGGTGAAAAAAGCACCTGTGTTGTTGTACATACTCTGCTAGGCCCTAAACAAGGTAAGAAAAGCACATATGTGTGAGAAATTTGGAGGAGTCCTGTATATTTAGAAGAACAGCTCTCTCTTCAGAGCATCTGCTTATTTTTTCTGCCTGTAACAAGCCCATATTTTAAACAACTTGGACAGAGAATAACCCGGCACCATGTCTGTACAAGAAACACCTGGCTGTTGGAGCAAAGCACAGTTGGTCTCCTTGGGATTTCAAATTGGGTCTGTGAGGATTAACCTCCTCTGCCTGGCCTGGATTAAATTATGAGGCTGGATGCTGCATTTTCAGTATGAAAGGTGACAGTCTCAGCAGCTGTTGCTTTCTGTCATTTCACTACAGCTAAACTGAATGCACTTACATAGGACACGGTTAAATTATTTCATGGGGGGGGGGTCTCTTGGTCAAGCTTTACATAATTATCTATATGACTGTACAGAAATTAATGGAGATTAGTCAGGAAAAACTACACAATGTACCTCAAAAGGCATCTGAGGCTGAACGCATTCTCGTTTGTGAAACAGACTGAGATGGAAAGGTGCTGGAAAAGCTGAATTTAGATTTCCAGCTACTGAAAGCTGGTCATCTGTAACAGGTAATTCTGTATATAAATAAGTGGTCTGTTTTTTTGGAGGTGTGGAAGTCACAGTTGCAGGTCTCTATCCCTCTGAAAATCCATCCCCCAGATCAATATATATAATTAGACATGAAAAGAAAAAAAGTTAAGAAACACGTTACGTGAAAAGGCCCCTGGGTGATGTTTAACCAATGCAAAGTAGCCCAAAAAAGGCACTTAATTGGATTGCTGCAGATCAGGTCCCTTCTGACTGGACTCCTGTATCCCAGCTCTGTAGTGCTCAGGTGGGGAATAGAGGAATAGATGCTCTGAGTGAAGAAGGTACAACCTTAGTTGCCATTATGCAAAATCTTACCTGCTTCTCTTTTCAATGGAACACTATCAGTAAGATTTACCCTTTAAATCACCAATAAATGGAAAGACATCCATGTCTTTTTCCTAATAACTATTGTATTTTATTTCTTTTCACCAATAAAAACAGAGCAAATATATCTCATTTACCATCAGTGATTATTAATGCTATGGAGACTATAAGACATTGAACACCTGTCATAGTTGGATGCAGCAAATCCCACTGAAGATTGCCTTGGAGATAAAGGTGATTAAAATAATTTAACCCAAGTATTGCTGAGATATTTTAGATTGCTGATTTATTCCTTTTCCTGAATGCCAGAGAAGACACATATTCTGGATCCTTCTACAAAAGGGGCATGCATAAAAGTAATATAGAAATAGTCAAATATTAGGTTCTGATTCAGTTAAGGACAGGTGCATGGGGCTAATCAAAAATATGCTCTTGCCACATATTCTTACTGAATGAGAAATGATCAACAAGTGTTTAGAAATAGAATGAAATTTTATTTATGTGGAAGAGATGAGTATTGGCAAATAGCAGTCTAGGAAGAGATTCCTTTTTCTAGTGATAAAAGGCTTTTTTCCCCAGTATTTTTAAAAACATTCTCTTAGCTACATATAAAAAAATACCTCACTTTTTAAACCAAAGTAGCGACTGCTCAAAAAAAGATCATAAACAGTTTATATGGAGCTTTTAATTTTTATATGAAAAAGTTAATAAAATAATTTCACAATACAGTCTATGAAAATAGTATCATAATGATTAATAAATTCATGTTTTGCATATATCTGAAGTCCTTTAAAATCCCATGACCCAAACCTCTCCCACAGATGCTTGAAGCAGCAGCCTGTGGAAGAGAAGAGGTTGCCAGTCACTGACGTGCTCGGCCTCAAGTCAAGGCCTGGGATTAGTTACGGGCATCCTGGGCTCCTCCAACCTAGACCAGCTGGGCTCAATTTTGGGGGATCTTACACCAAGAACAACAGCTCCTGACTATGTTGTTTTGGGGTCTACGCAATGCTGACAGAAATACACTTGCATAAAATGCTGCTCCAAGTTTTGTTTCAAAAGATTTTACTTTGAGAAAACTAACTTGCAGATTTAAAATTCTCTCTGTAGTAGTTTTTAAGTCCCTGAAAATTGAAACTGATTGTGGGCAAATACCCAAGCCATCCATTGGACAGAACAGTGGAGGGAGACAACTCAGATTTTGGTCTGCCATTTTTTTCCAGTATTGCTAGTGCTAGGAGTTGAAAGGTATATAGCATTTTAATGGCTGGAGCCATTAGGAATACACAGATAAACAGCATGCACATGGTGAATACTATGTTATTTTCTGTTGCATTCAAGAAACAGGTTAAATTTACTAATGTAATACTACAGTCATTAACTGTCAAATACCAAGCTCAAGTAATGCAGCAACTGAAGCCTTATCAACTATGCCAGATTCTAACACCTAGACTCTGCAAGGTCTGCAGTTATGATGGACTACCTGAGTTGATAACACACGGAATTATCTAAACAACATTTGCATATTTGTGTAATTATTTCCTAAGGTTAATTAGCTCTTTGCAAAGCAGCTTGCCCTTTGAGAGTGCTTACTGTGACAGGTTCACATATTTCCCGTTTCAGTGCCAAATTTTACTTTATTTTTTTTTAAGGTAGCTTGTTGCTGGAAAGTTACAGATAAGAGCTGGAGATTTTGAACCACCATTGGCTTTACTGAGGCAGAGCAGCTCCGATGCCACCTTAAACTTCTAATTCATCAAAATTAAAAAAAAAAACTCAAACAAAGAAAAAACAATTTAGTTTTAGTTTTCAGCTCTGGTAACAGC